ACTTACCATGACTTGTTCTTAGTAGATATAGCTATTCTATGTGTCTGTCAAACTTATTGGAATTCATTTGGATTTTTACTTAAGTTGCACAATGATTGGTAACGTCATCAAAGATACTTCATCCAATACTATGCATCGATAGTCATCAATCATTATATAGCTCAACAAAGGGTTGTGATTGTTCCTACAAGGAGTGGTACTGAGAACATTTAAGCGAAGCAGAAATCAAGTTTTGTTAGTCATAGTTACAAGAAATTATCGACTACAAACATAACAAATTAGAGAGGGTGACACAAATGTCGATTAACAAATGGGGGTTTTGATATCGAATTAACAACGAAAACAATAAGAGAGACTAATGGGGAAATGAGATTCTTGGGATGTGACCGGAATATGAGATAAAAGAAACTGAAGGGTAGTTGTTATTGATAGTACATCGTTGAATATGTGCAACTAGTCTAGACTTTAGTGGGGTAAATTCTCTCTCGAGCAACCTACCCCGAATCAACTTGGTTTCTCTCGAACACCGAGTAAACCAAGGTGCAGAATTTAAAAAAATCTTCTTCCTTATCCCAATTACTCTCTCAAGATAAACGCGTGGGAAAGGGACTAGGATTCACTCTCTCGAGTTGAGCCCATGACGACCCAATAACCACCAGTTATCAACTTAGTAGTCTTAGTTTATAAAACCTCTCTATTGATTAAGCCAAAAACACTAAGGTGAAATCGTATTTGCAACTACAACCTCATTTAATTCAAACACAACTACTAAGTGAAATCACATTTAAACAACGAATTTACCAACAATAAGCAACACCAAACAATATATTTACCTCATATTCACAAAATCATACCCCAAGAATTGGAGTTTTAGCTACACATAAAGAAATCAAATAAAATGATACCAAATCGAAGTAACATTAACTGGATGTGATTTATTTTCGCTTCAATCAAGTCTAGGATGAAGAATTTCCAACACCACTTTGAATTTCTTCAAGATGAGAATCTTCAAATCCCAAAGGTTCAAGAGGAATGTTTCCCAAGAGCTCCCAAAAACTTAAAATAGAAGTCTAAAAATTACTTTTCAAAATTATAAAATTAGATAGTAGCTAAATACATTAACAAGTTTTTATAATTTTCAAAAAGTTGTGCTAAGAAGGACCACTCGGCGCACTTAGTCGAGATCGCCAATCAACGGGGTGATCCATTGTTTGGTATATTCATTTCCTTCTTGCGTTAGCCTAAACATCTTCATGTTTCGGATCATTGGGTGACATAGTACTGCTTCTCAAAATTTATTGGCGACACGCCGACTTCTCCTTTTCACCACCAACGTGATCCTTTCCTTTAGGGCTCAGCTACTGGAACAAAAGGTGAGAATGGGAACTTGTAACGGCACTCTGAATGGGTTTGGTGATCCTGAGGTCTTCACTTCTTTGTTCTTTTAGATGCCTTTGTTCCTTTTTGCTTGATGTCCATGTTTTGTCTCCAAGTATATATACTTGAAACTCAAGGTATTTATCAATTTTTGACACAAAATAGTCATTTGAGGACACTAAACCTATCAAAATATAACCCTAGATGAGTCCAAATAATGGACTCATCACACACAAGCTAACCGTTTTATTTATGGGGGCTCAATTAGTTTTAGTTAATTACACTTATTTCATTTATGTCCTTCGTATATTTGTGTGTGTTTCTTTTATCTTTCCATTATCTTGACCATTGTTTGTGCTTTATTTTTGCATTTTATATTGCTTTTACTTTTCCTTCTCAATAGGCTTATGATGCCTTCAGAGTACCTGTTGTTTTGATATTCATGTTGTACTCTTCCTCTGTTTCGTGTTGTAGATTTGACCACTAGGTACTAACATTGATAATTGAACATATTACAGTTGTAGTTCAAAGGCGAGGGTGAGCACTTAGTGTTGGATTTACCTGCCTTTAATTTTATTTTGATAGCTACTCTATTGCATTTTGAGATAAACTCTGTATTTTGGGTTTACTTTTTGGAGTTGTACTATTTTGTTGTAGAAAGCTATGTACTTGGGAATTTCAGGTTGTGGGAGGGATCTTTTGTATATATTATTTTGGTTTGCTTCATCTGGTATTCTATTTCTTTTGTTAATTATTGCTTGACAGCTTATCTCTACCCTTACACCCATTACTTCTTGTTTTGGGTTACGTGTTGACTTACCTGCTGGTGGGTTGTAGTAGGTGTCATCATAACTCTGAGAAATAGGTCGTGATCAAAAACCAGATCGTGAACATGGATTCTAGGTTTGGACCATGAATTATAAAGTAGCTTTAGATCTATGAAAGATTTCTTGATCAGCTTTGAAAGGAAAGTTCTTTGTGAAATGTATAACACTTATGAATCATCAGCGCAGAGGCTTCTTAATGTATCTATCTTATGATCTTATGACCTTTTTAGGATGGAGAAGGAAGTTTGTGATGAATACCAAGCTTTTCTCTGCCAATTTTCGGTCAGCTTGACAAATTTATATGTAATTAGTTGATTCATATCATTCCTAACACTTGACAACATTTGAATGGTTTTTAGGTTGACTTGACATACTTAATCATTTCATGATTTTGGAGAGGATATAAGCTGAAATTTCAATTAAATTCATACATGTTAAGGTATAATTTATAGATTCAGTCAAATTAGATTATAATATCATTTGGACAAATATATCTTGAATTCAAAATATGATCTAAACTAATTTTTAAATTGAAATTCGATAAAATTCAAATTGATACGGGACCAACATATATATGGAGGAATATATAATTAATCCCAAATCTTCTAACTTTAGAAACAAGTCTTGATAGAAATTATTACGACTAAAAGTTTGAGAAAGAATAATAAAAAGAGAAAGGTAAAATAATGAAAAGGGAGATGACATGCATGTTAGTTGTTACCTAAAGATGAAAAATTGGGACCCATATTGCCGGCTGAATATGTTGCATTGCTGATTTTATCTATGAGAGTTACTCAAAAGTCAAGATTTTATGTTTTCCTTCAGTCATCACAACTTTGAATATTTATTTATGTAAGACTATCAACCTATTTAAAAAGTACCAACTTGTGGAACATCATCATTTTGTGCTTGAATTTTGTTATTACCAACTTCACTTTTCCACTTTTGGCTCATTTATTCATAATTCCAACTAATCACAGATTAATTTGTAGCACATGGCTAAATTTTGCATTTGCTTATTTTATTTTCCTTAAAGCTACTCAAAACCCAAAGTTTCTTATTTTTTAATTCTAATGAAGATATTATTATTTAAAGGTGGTGAATGTTATGGTATTTACAATTGGCTTTTAGGAGAATTAGCTATTAAAGAATTGGGTGTGCTTTGTAGGAAAGGAAAATATTTTTATGAAAAATATTTTAATTTTTTTAAAAAAAAATTAAATTTATTTCCAATTATATATTTTTTACTTACGAGTAAATAAATAAACAATATTATGTAACCTAGCAAAACAATAAAGAAGCCGAAGGGGACAGGGAGTGGGACCTGCGGGGTGGGATGGTCAAAGGGAAGGAGTTGGGGGCATTGGGTTGGTGGAAACAATACAACAAATATAACACGTCCTTTATAAAGAAAATAATTTTCGTAATATTTTTAAGGAACTTGTTTTCATAATATGGTAAAATAGGAAAATATTTTCCTCTATGCCGAACACAAAAGTCACTTATTTAGTTTTTTCCTTGTCTCTTGATAATGTTTTGCTTACTAGTAACATCTACAACCTAAACTGGGGTGTATATATATAATATATATCATTCTTTATATTAATTTACGGTGAAAAGGTCATTGGTGTCTCGGCCGTTATAGTTTTGGAACATTTATTCCCCTGTCGTCATACTTTTGAAATATTGATGCACCTGCCGTCATACTTTAAGAACATTGGTGCCCCCGCCCCTTCGTTAGAGTGAACGGCATATATACTCGAATTTATGGACAACATGACACCAATATCCAAAAAGAATGACAGAGAGTAAAAGCATATCATTTACGATAATTCGAGAGTATATTTTTCATTTCTTAATTAAGTGTCAATAAGCATGTCAAAGGTGTTATATTTAGATCATATAACAATATACATATAAAGCAACTAAAAATAAATGTCCAAGTAAAGAAGTTAATTTTTATTGTACTTGCATTGGTCTATCCCACGAGTCTTTATATTATAAAATCATAAATGATATAAACACAGGCTAACAGACAAGAGAGGGTTTTGTCCATCTGAGTGAATGATTTTTCTTTCTCTAATAAAGTTGTTCGTATAAAAAAGCTGATCTTTTCTTTCCTAAATCGTTACAATTATTTCCCCCCCCCCTTCATAAATGACATCAACTCATTCTTGCTTAAAAACAACCCTCTCTTCCATAAACCAAGGGAAAAAGAGAAAGATGTGGGGGCCTTTTAAGTACTACACATATTCAACTAAATGTTTTTCTAAAAAAACAAATAATAAATCAAAAAGGGTTTATAGTCTTTTCATTTTTAATTGTTTGGTGGAGTTAATTTGTTCTGAATACAAAGATAACAATCTTCAACATTGAATTTGGTCATGTGATTGAACACTTTGGTCCATTTCTATAATTAAAAAGATAAGGTGAGACCATAGAAGTATGTAGAACTGACCAGTCATGATAAATTGCTCAAAGTCCATGGAAAAAAATCTGAAATTGGAAGAATACTTGTAGTCTCTCTATTACATATTCCCACAACAAAACAAAACTAAAAACAAGTAAAAATAAATAGCAATTACTAAGGACAAGTTAGAAAACTTGAAAAGCCAAAATGCCAAAATACCAAAAAAAAAAAAGGATTTAGTACAATGTTTATTCCAAATTCACATTCATAACCCCAACAAATAGGGACAATAGGGCATATAAATCACCACATGAATTTCCTTGAATATTCCATTCTTGATGGAATCATACATGATGAATTCAAATCTTTTTGTTGTGTTCAATTGTACATGGAATAAAATCAACAGCTCAGGAGGGATAGACAAGGAAGGAGAACGAGAGTTGAGTAGGAAAGAAGAAGGAGACCAAACAAAGCTTACATGAAGAAGTCATGACGTAAGATTTGCAAAAAAACAAAACATAAAGACGTAAGAGATAACACGGGGTCTTACAAGGTCAAGAAAAGGTCTTACAAGGTCAAGAAGAATGGGGTAGGTAGAGGAACGAAAGGCAACAAGTCAAAAAAGAGAATACACAACAGAAAAAAAAAAGCGGTGAGAAAAAGCTCAGGTAGGATAGCACCGAGATTAAGATGAGGATGCGACACTCATCGTTAGGAAGACGAAGAGAAAGCCAAAGCCATAGCTAAGAAGGACCACTAAACATGTCATTCTGCTTATACTTTGCAGTTTTTGCAGCCTTTGGGTTGAAGCAAGCTGACTCATTATTAATCCACTCATACATGCTACCTGCATCCAAATAAATTTTAAACAAGAAAGTTATAAACTTTTTCTAACACAAAGGAAAGTAAAGCTGATGTGGTAGCTTTTGAATGAAAAAACTAAGGTTATGGAAAGATAGGTGGGAGAATAAAGGGAAAAAGAAAGTAGGGATACCTTGTGGAGATTTCAGTGTTCTTTTCTGCAGTGCAATATTTGCTCTCAAACCCACAAAAAGTGCACAAACTAAAGAAAGATCATAGAGGAGCTAAGTAGAGGAGAATGAAGAAAGAAAGGTTTAGAATGGGCTTATAAGGAGGTGGCCAATGGGCTGACAGTGACACCTCCAAAAGCCCTGAGAGACTGTGAGGGATATGAGACCCTATTTTTCCTGCGCTAAATTATCGGAAAATTTAATGAGAATTTGGGGGGGAAAAATATTAAATAAATTATAATTATTTTTTAAAAAAATAATTTGATATTTTTTATATTTTATAATTATAAGATTAAATATGTTTTAAAAGATAAAATAATATAGATCATATATCATTTTAGCCAAATTTTGGCCAACTTTTTTTTTTCCATTTTCCCTTTTTCTTTCTGCCCCAAAACACAAAAAAAATAATGATAATAGAAATAGCAAACATAATAGTCATAATAAGGTTCTATAACAATAGTTCGTAATAAAGGCTACAGTTTGTATATTTTTATCACTATATTTCTGTCAGTTTATATATTTTTGTTTGCAAATATACAAATAAGGTAAGAACATACAAATATATATATTTATACATTTAGAAATATTTTAAAGCTCCCTTTGTATATATTGCTTGTCATTATACAACCAAGATAATTTATCATGAATTTTTCCTAAATTATATATAAATAGTTAAGATAAGCATATACAAAATACTAAATTTATACAAAGACCATTAAATTATAAAAAATTTTGTTTTATACACATCAAGAGAATTATAAAATTCACATGAATAATAAGGATTGGATAAACTATAGCTACGAATTATTAATCTCTTATATCGTACATATATATAGTTATATACGGTGCATAATATAAACTAAAAGTTTGTTATTCTGCATATTTTTTTTTGAAAAAAAAGGGGGGCGGGCGGGGGGGGGGGGGGGTTGCACTTTTGCTTTTCATTTTGTGTAGTTCTTTAATTTTTCATCTTTCAAGGATGAATAACTCTGTAAATGACATAAATTTATATTTTTACATTATAATATTTTTACTATGTCAACAAACATATATTTTTACTATGTCATTTGCTCCTAAGGAACTTATGCAACCTTAAAAATGTTTATTTAATTGATATCCATAAATAAATATAATTAATATATTTTGACCGATCCATTTAAATGCAAATCGAGTAATTAAATGAAAGTAAAAAAGAAAGGCAAATCCATAACATAAGCACAAACCCATCAATTTCGATATTTTTTTTAACGTTTGGAACTAAAACTTAAATATTAATAATACATAATAATGCAATTTGATTTTAATTGGTCTAACACATTCTGTATTTGAAACTAATCAAATTTAATGTTTCTTGTTGAATTAGCACGACTCATTGTGTAAACAAAATACTATATATATATGTTCACATAAATAATATCATTATAAATAGTAACATATTTACGTAAGTATATATATATTTTTAAAATATATTATTAAAATAATTCAAAATAAAAAATCAATCATAAAATTTAATATTATAATAATTATTTCCACCAAAATTTAAATATTTTTCAAAATTTTTTTCTAAATAATAAGAAAAGAGGAAAATACAAGAAGATTGATTTGGTGGGCATAGGGGTCAACGAGGGACGGCCAGTTTCATGGAGGTCGTAACTGCCCGAAGAGGCAGACCGCGCTGCCCGGCCGACCGTAGTCAAATTATTGGCAAGGAAAATACTCCCTCTCGTTTCGTCCTAGAACATAAAAAATAAAAACAAAAGTCAAATTAAATAGAGCCAAAGAATCTCTTGGGTCCACTTCACTCAAAATTACTCAATATTTGTTTCTTCTCTACTACCCTAATCTAACAGTGGTGAATTTTTTGTTAATATTTTTTCAAGAAAAAAATGTGATAGGTAAAATCAATGGGACAGGTATTTTTACTTATCATTATTTGATTTAACATAATAATTAAATTTTAATTATTGATGTGCTAGTTAATCGTATAATTCTTTTCTATTAATATATCTTGTATTGAGTCTTGAAAATAACATGAAAGATAATATTTAATAATAAAAGTAAAACATGAAAATTTTCTTTTATTTTTTCTTAATATAAAATATAATAAGTAAAAATAAAAATTTACTTTTAAAATATCTGACAAGTAAAAATAAATAATAGAAAGGTGATATTTTAGTAAAAGCAGGTAACCGGCAATCCAAGCACAAAACTAAATGTGCTTTTTTAAAAAAAAAAAGAACATAACAAAGATTAATATATATATATATATTTTATTACAATGATATATTAATTCATGTAAAGTCTTACATCATGATTTAAGATTTAAATTATTTATGGACATAGTTTAAGGTATAACTTTTATTCTCATCTTTTTGTAACTTTATAAACAATGAAATATTTGGCTCTTAAAAAATATCAAACTTCATTAAATAAAAAGGCTAAATATGAAAGAAAAATTCAAACGTGCATCTTCAACATTCAATAATTTAATTATTTATTTTTAAAAAAAGTAAAAAAAAAATGAAATAAACAAAATATTAATATGGTGAAAATAACAAACAAAATAAATATATTTATTTATTTATTTTGAATATAATAAAGGAGTAAAAGTTAAAGGAAGGAAATGAGTATACGATAATTGTGAGACATTAATTAAGAATTACTGACAGCTCAAAATTTAAAGCAGATGTAATTAAAATAAGAAAGAGGTGAAGAAAAGGGAATTGGGCGAAGAGAATAATATTTGGGAAATTGGGAGTGCAAGCGTGTGGCACGCGGGCAACACACAACAATACGCATTGCCTTCACAGTCTTCTATGATCCGGTCAAACACAACTCCTTTGTTCTAAGAGAGTAGTAAAATGGTGGAATTACCATCTTATTTTGAAGTTCAGGAAATAAATCAAAAGTAGGAAATGTAACTTATTTTGGATTTGATATTTGATATTTATTAAATCCAATTAGTTAGAATTTATTCATGTACTATCCTTTCATCCAAATTTACTTTTCTATTATACCATTTTTTAAATGTCCAACAATATTTTGTGTAGTTTATAAAATCAATTAATGATTTACCATTTTGTGTCTAATTTAACATTGCTATTAAATATTATTCATTTTTTGAATAATTAAATAATGTATGTTTAATAAGGGCGCTTTGGAAAATATTATCCCTATCATTTAATGTTTCTCAATTCATATGCCAAGTCAATCGTGAACAACTATTGTTGTACATATTTTCTCTAAGAAATTAGAGAATTTATGAGTTATTCAATAAAATCTCCTACCTCTTATTTGTAATGACCCTCTAGGTCATATTTTCAATTTTACAATATTTTGGACGTTTAGAGTTTTCCTATAGCTATCTCAAGTCATTATGACTTGTTGAGAGCGACAGTTTTGTCACGATCCAAGCTTACACCTTGGACGTGGTCGGCACTCGAGAAACATTGCTAGTCTCCAAGCGAACTCTCATCCTGATTGGCTAGAAGCGAAAAATTAACTCAAGCATACAAAAACTTAAAACTAGATTAAATTAAATAACTCAAATACTCAACTTTAAAATAGTCCAAATATATTCAATAGATAAACTTAGAGTTTGTTAAAACAACTCAAAGAAGGTACATACTGAAAACTACTCAACTTTGTCTATCTATGAAGCCTTTACTTTTACAGAAGGATATCAGGGCAAGACCCAGACAATCTCAAAACTACTAACTATAAGGTAAAGGTGAGTCCTCCGGAATATAAGAAGGCTCACCAAAACTAACTTGAATATCACATAACCTTAATGAAACACCTGTTGATGATCCTAAGTACCTGTATGTGCATAATAAAATGATGCAGGACAAATGGAGTCAATACATTGAAAGTACGAGCATGTAAGTTAAATTTAAAGCATAAACATGTGCTTGAACTGACACAAAGGAACATTATTACCTCTTATCAAACTCACTTAACTCAACTCAACTCAACTCAAACTCCCCTCAATAATAGGATGTTCAACTGAATGAAACATAGTTCAACTCAACTCAATGAAATAGGGCTCAACTCAACTACGAAATTATTAGCTACGACATCAAACTCGACACTAATTTTTTTCTTTTACTGACAAAATTTACTTTTCGTGTTTAAATATATGAGGCACATACTTTTAGTGATGAAACATAAAATTCATAGCAAAAATTGTCCACTAAAATTTCTCATCAAAAAATCAATTAACGTCATTTATTAAGTAGTGTTAGTCACTAACTTAGAAATATCGACGACACATTATTTAATCACTAATACTGTATCTAATTCATGAAAAATCATTTTTTGTCTTAAAATTTAGTAATTTTTGGAAATGAACAAATTTCATCTAAAAAAATATGTTGTTACAATATCGACAAATTAGAGTTCATAGTTAAATTGTCACGACCCAAACCGTCGTGATTGACACTCAACTGATCCTTCAGTGGGAGAACCATTACTACAACTAAAACCCCAACAACTAAAGTAATGACTAATGCATTTAAGTTACGGAAGCAAGTTAAATAAACTAAGTAAGAAGCTTCCACAAACTTCAACAAGGATTCTACAGAACTAACTAAAAAGGTGTGGACTAACTAAAAGTGTGGAAGTAAACAACCTAGAACCTGAAAGTCAATGTACTAGAACTTTTAAAAGGTAACCAAGTCTAATAACATTATAATTACATGCATATATATCAACATGTACAAAACTATCAACATTTATGAACAACGGTCAAAATCACATTTCTCAAATTGCACAATTACGTCAAGCAGTTGGTCCTCTCATGGAACCCAAACACCAAACTGTTAGTGCACTTACATTTAGCCTCAAGAACGATGAAAAATGAGTATATTTCACCTGGGGTTCGTTACTTAGCAAAAAAAAGTCAATAATTATATAATGAGGTCGTGTAGGAGTTTATTAACGACCTTAATTCTGTCTGTCACAGCAAGTGTCATCTGGCAGCGCCAAAGCGGCAAAAGTTCCCAGTATGGAGGGATTCTCAAACCTGAAAGAGTTGGTTTTGGTTCCTGTGG